TTAGATTGTGATGTATTAAAGATTTGATCAAAAATATTTCATAAAGTTAAGAAGAACAATGATCTCTGTAGGGGTAAATGTTAGCATATTATTAGATCTCCTTCTCTTATTAATACCTTATTTTCCTTCTTCTCCTACTCATATAATGCTTTTCAATTATTTCTCGGGTTTGTGCTTAAAAGAGGTATGAATTGAAGGAGCCTTGTTTTGAGGTTAATTCAATCCCTTTTGTTGTTATAAACTCATCTCATCAGTGTGAAAGACAGTTTAGAGTCAAGTCTATGTCGCCCAAGAAAGAATATGTGCTTATTCTGACGTTTATATAAGGAGCCACCAAACACATTGCATTGCATGACCATGGCTAGCTAGCTAGACAACTCTTCTTCTTCCAAACTTTCTAAATCTTTCTCTCATGAACAGTTGTGGGGAATGTTGTCTGGTTCGAGACCATTCACTTGAAGCATAAACAGTTGCCAACTGTATGATTTCGGACCAGGCTTCATTCCCCCCAATTCATAGAGTTCCATTGTCTGTCACTATGCTGGTCTTCGTCCTCTCAATACCATTCTGGAGGGTCCACCGTGAGACTAGGTTTTGCTTAGTTAGGCGTTTGCAAGCGCAAGGTAATCTCTTCTTTTCGTTGCAGTTTTTGAAGCCTAGTGGTTAAGAACTTACTCTCCATGATTGATTAATGCCTTGTCATATGAAATTCTTACAAACAATATCATTTAACTTCCATTAATCCATGCAATAGCACCTTTCTAATGCACCTACATGTTCAGTACACAGATGGTATGATATCGAATTGTGCATCCATGATCGTCTTGATTCATGAGTTGGTATGCAGCACAGGTGAGAGAAGTCCACAGTATTTCCTTCGTGTACCAAATTGTCATAGACATGAATGACAGATTAGTGTGAACATACAACAATACAACAAAGGTTAGTCTTCAATCTTTAACCATTTTGGTTTTGTTTATATTTGTTGGAACTTGGGGTTGATTCATTCAACAGTATGGACTTTTTGTTGGTAGAGAACTTCAAAGGATATAGATTTGGTGCTTTCACTTTAAAGTTAAGCTATCAATTCTTGCTTCTTTCTATTAGTACATTCATCATAACAGCTCTTTATACCAAGCTTTTTCTACCAAGTGGGTCAGACTTCAGAGCTGCAAGAGAAAAAAAAAATGCTATCCATGTTGGCATGTTGCTTTGATTCTTATGGGCTGTGGATGGAAAGTATAGAAAACCAAGAAAAAATGCCATCTATTTTCTAATGATACTGATAAACTATTTGCAGTATTTGCTTGTGGTATTAGGATTTCATTGTTGAATTTGTTTTCTTTGCATTTTTTTTTTGGTTGTTGAAGATATTGGTATAAGAAAAGAAAGACTTTTTATTACTGTTGAAACACCAGAATCAGGAAAGAAAGCAATCGGGGTTGGGGTGGGTGTTGGCTTGACAGGCACTTAGGCTTAGCCATCACTATAAGACCACACATAATGATGTTCATTCAATCATTCCTGTGAAATAGGAGTACAAAATATAGGACTGTGACTTAAGACGCTTGCAAGCCAGTTCTGACCAGTGAACACTTTCACCAAGTAGTAATATGGTTTAATTCAATTGCATTATACTCTGCTAATTTCACAGTTTGGAACTAACATACAAGAAACTAGTTATATGCCAATAAAACTAAACCGAGTACAATGTCAAGACGGGTAGGTGTCGTCATACAAAGTGGTAAAAATACAAGATAAACAGTGGACTCGAGAACTAAATTGATAGCTCTGGACATTATGGTAAAAATTTTGAAATCTGCAAGGCTCACAAGATCTTACTAATCAGTATTGATGCACTCATAGCGAGAAGCTGCTACATTCTTGGGAATGAAACTGCAGATGGAAAATATTAGGGTGAACTTAGTGTCATGTTGTTGTGAGTTGGAGACCTAAGTACCTAACCCTGAAGATGTGGTCAACCTTCTTTAGCTTTTAGCCATTTATAAAGGTATTTCCAAGCCTTGGACACACCTATTCAGAAAAAAAGAAGATTTAGAAGAAATTAACTCAGTAAATAGGAAATCTACCACAAGGAATGTGTATAATAACTCAAAAGTAAATTTAAACCTTTTGGGGCCTAATAAAGAGATGAAAATGCCTTTTCCGATTAATAGTGAACCCCGCTATCATTTGATACAAGATGGACACTATTTATATCGCATAAGGAACGAATTTATTCAATATTGAGAAGAACCAATATCCCTAACAATAAACATTAAAACACTACAGATTATTCATTCAAGTATTTACTCAAAGAAGAACAAAGAAACTAACCTTTCCGTGAGCTCGCAAACGCAGATGTGGCCTTTCTGTGGCAATTTAAGTTCATATGAGTGATCTCCAGTATCGTCTTGACAATGGATACTAATACTTGAAAGTTCTTCGACGTACCTATCCACCTAAATCCTAATACAGGTAAGAAAATTTTGCGAGAAAACACAATCTGGAGCAACAGGTGCTTAACACAACAATGTAACAGCATGAACCAAGTTAATATCAAGGGTGGTCGCTTGGTTAGAAATAAGTACTTACAAACTCTATAGTAGTCTTCCTTGACCTATATTAAGTATCAAACTTCACATGTAAGAATGTCAGTTGTTTGTTCCGTAGATTCCATCAACTCCGACCCTGGGAACTGCCCAATATCATATCCTGTAACTGGGTGAAATTCATTGTTCAAACCAGCAGCAAATTCAGCGGGACGGGTTCCACCGCTTTGCAGATAATCTGCAATCTGCAGAGCACAAACCAGTTGACCAAATTTTTGAAGCTTGTACAGCATCCAGACAATAGTGAACCAAACTCTAGTGTCTTGAGAAGAAAGTAATGAAAATGTAAAATTATAATACTTACATGATTGGCAAGAGACATGCCACTTAAAGCTGAAGCCTCTACGCTTGAACCTAGTAGCCAATCACCACATATTCCAGCCCTTCCCTGAGGATCAAATATGCAAGGCACGCCTGGAGTATTAGTTGGGAGAGCAGCGCCCCTGCACATCACAAGCAAAGAAAAATGATTATCATCATTTTAAAGTTGATGTTACAAAACATTAGGATGAGGTGGATTGCATGTAGTCACTACCATAATTGAACTCGGGTATAAATGGGTCTTGGAAGTGATCCCTTTGGTAACCCCAATGCAATTTCAATACCCTCGAGCATGCCTGCAGTAACCTTCTCTGCAGTAGCATTTGGGACATTTTCCTGATAAAGTACATATAATTAATGACATTTCTGAATTAAGTTAACACCCATCTTGAGAAGGGCTAGGGCTTTGAGCAACACTAAACTATAAAAGTGCATATACCCTTTTTATGCAACTTAAGTCTAGAAGCCACTCTTATACTCAAACATTTGGCATCAAGAACAAGAATAAACAGATTCCAAGAGAGTGACGAAAGCTTAAATGTCAAACCTGAGGAACTTTGTTTTTTTTGCCATATGCGGCAGTGCTAAAGAATGTCCAACAATGAGGGCCTACACTCTGGGATGGAAACAATTTTTGTGTGTTGTTTGCCATCCATGAGAGGGCATCGACACCTTTTACAAAAGCTCCTTCAAAGGGATTTGAAGTTAGATTACTGGGAATAGGAAGAGGATCTTCAAATGCGGCAAGAAGGGCCCAGATAGAACTCAATTCCAGGCTCTACAAACACATAAAACAAGAACACACTAAATCAGATGGTTGAAGGTGCACAAGTTCTAAGATTTTATTTTATCCCATTGAATTTAAGAAAAGGAGAGGTTATGAACCTTCATTTGTCTTGCAATTAGTGGTAAACCTGATGTAGCGAGTAAACGATTTGCACATTTCCCTGTTTTTGATATAAGAGATAAAAGAATGTTTAATTATAGATGTTGCATTCGTAAATCATTAGCATTGTGTAAAAGTATAAAAGATCTATATAAAAAATAAGTGATGAATGCAATTTCCATCATTTTACAGGGTAGAGTACTAGACTAACTATGTTGTCACATACTTACCATTATGTGCTATAACAATTGCATCAAACTGACCATGTGGCTTTCCATTCTCAGACAAGTGCCACATTCCATTGAATGCATCTAATCTACTTATCCAACAGGGTCTAACGACGTTGACCATGTGAGTCTGCAGCAAGTAGTACACCCTTGTTTAGCAATGATGCATTGATATCATTAAAACAAAAAACTTGGCATTAGTTATAAGTATTTAGAGTTGACTTTAGTAGTCTGAATGCTCTAACACACTTGACACTACCGATACGTAGTAAAAAGAAAATTTCGCCCATTGGCTTGAATATGAAAGCAATGTTGTCAAAATGAAATTGTGAAATTCTGATGTAAATAATATGTTCATCATGAAATGAAAGTAAAATGACTTGAACTTCAAATCATTAAACAGAAGTGTAATATGATAAATCTTTCAAATCATCGCCATCGGGTGCAGTGCGGATTCAGTTATGACTTTCTTAGTTCTGCATATCAAATTATAAGTGTTAAGGTAACAAGGCTAGGAGAAAATAAATATACAGTAGGATTTATCTGTATAAGAATTAGAAAAGGAGAAAACGGAAAAGCCATGAGTAGATTATTACTGATTATCTTTCCATCCATATGTCAAGCAGGGGAAGCAAATCAAAATCCAAAAAGGAGAAAAGATACAGAAGAAAGACCAATGACCTGGGACAAAATTGAATCTGCAAGTGGGCGCATCCCATCCACGCCTATATATCTAGGGGATGATGGGGTAACAGGAAGAAAGCAACCACCAGCTTCTAGCTCTCCAATAACCCCTTGCCACTCTCGAACCAGTCCCTTTTCCATCCATTCATCAACCAGCTCGGCAAACCGAGAATCACTAACAGTAAAATATTGAGCAGCATGATCAAAAACCAAAGGCTGAGGGTCTATAACTCTTGTGCCCAATCTTCCTCCCAACCCATGAATACCCTAAAGTAAATAAACACGGTGATCAATATTAGTAAACCTGAAGCATGTAATCAAAATAAACAAAAAATATGAACTAATTTGCACCCACGTTAATTTTGACAATGATAGCAGAAAAAGTCAAATGCAGGCTACATAAGTGATATCTTTTACATCAATCGATCAAAATCAACATTTGGCTGTCTGCTAGATTGAATTATCTCACAAAGAAGTTGAGCTTTCAGACATCAATTACTTTCAATTGACTCTATTTTATTTTTTTTCTAATTAGCAACTTGGTTCCATGGTTTGTTGTCAACCAATCCCAGTTTCGTTAGTTCAGCTCTCCAACAAACCTCACCAAAAAGTGATTAGACCAAGACATAGTATCAGTTCTATCAGAATATAACTCAACCACAAGTCAAAAAAATTGCCAATATCAATGTACCTTATGCATTAGGGAACATAATGTGGTATGTGCTACATTTTAGAATTGCCAATAAAAAAATTAATCTTTGGTACCAAAAATGCACTTAGCTG